CAACACTGTAATTGAGGAAAAACACAGAGAGAGAGATAGACTTGCTTCTCATTTGGGCACTACAGTTTACCACATCTATTATACATCAATGACACAGGTCTGCTGACTTCTTTTAATTTACTGCTCTTCTGTAGATAAGAACATAAAAAAAAAAAAAGACACAAAAGGTCAAGTAAACCATTAAATGTAAGGTTAGCCATTTTCAATGAAGTGGCACAGTTATAGTCTATCGGCACTTTAAAATCTCAAATGAAATAAGTCTTGGATTGGCCTCGTTAGGTAATGACCTTTCACCTCTGTGTCACACTTGAGTTATAGAAAATACTACTAATTAAATGAATGACGTAACGGCGGGAGCCCTCCTGTTTCTGCCTGTCTTCAGGATTTGCACTTGTAGTTGCACAGCCGTACGAAGACTATGAGGTTCGTAATGTGGAGGTGCGGATTCCTTGCTCACACCCTGTTGTTTAAACGACAGCCCAATTCATATAGATCTGCTCACAGTGCAGAATACCATCACCTCCACATCCCACAGCTACCAGCAATAACACCACCTTCTACACATCTCTTCAGTAATTACAACAGTAATGAAAACAGCATTGCAAATATGAAAGGCTTTAACAACACAAACACCAAGTTTTGCAACTGGAGAAATCACAAAAAAAGGAGTATTAAAAAAATCCAGAACGATGCAGGTACATTGTTCTTTCTAGCTGACACACACAAGCAATAAATTGCTGCTCTAAGCAGTGAAGCACTGATCTTACCGCTCCTACCAATGTTCTTCAACCGTGTAACATCCTGCAGCCAACCTTCCTCTCCCGTTCATTCTTTTGAAGAATTTTCCCCCTCCACTTTTTATTCCTACAACTGCCAGCTGCACCAGCCCTTATTTGAACTGACCGCACATACACATACCTAAAATCTAAAATAACTCATATTGGAAGCACTAAGAAGGATGCTGTGGGGCAGTACCCATGAACATTTTCATCACCACAATACAGCAGGTACTAGTTCAAGTGAACATTCAATTTTCTACCCTCCTAAGATGATGCTGAAATAGGGCAAAAAAAGAAGCAATAACTGTAGGTTTATATACTGAGAAGAGAAAATGTGTGCTGCAACATCAGACACTGCAGAGGTGGCAATCAAGCTGTGTTCAGATTAGCAAGCTGTATAATAGTGGTGTTTCGCTAAATTAAAAAAAAATACTAGGATTGTTATTTAGTTGTTCCAGGCAAACATCAAGATAATAATCATTCTCTCATGTATGTCCAATTATAACACTGTAGACATTCCCTCCCTCCCAAAATTCCGTGCAAAGTTATTGTTAGTATATTTTCGCCCAGCCCAATAACAAATACAATTACTCATAATAAGCACAGTCATTCACTGGAGTGAAAGGTATAACACTACATAGGACACATATTTGGGTAGAAAGCACCTCATATGGACACAGTACTTGCTGATACTGTTTTACAAGCAACTTGTTTCCTTTTACCTGAATTGAGAAGAATGAGCATGCTTACTGAGCTATCTTTTTAGCTAGTAGATTCAGGCACAATTGCAATTCTAAATGGCAGAAAGCAAGCAGTCTCTCCTATTAACTCTTCCAAAATGATTTTATCTCAGTCTTCAGACCGAGGCTCTTCTGCCTCTCGGCCTTGTAGAAGCTTGGACAACTGCAAAGCACTCAAGAGTTCATGACTCAGCCCACGTACTTGAGGAATCACAAGATATCTGGGGAGACGGAAGAATGATAACTCTCTTCCCTCATTAGAAAATGCAAGAAGTTGTTTATTTCCCACCAGTGGCTGTCAGCAGAAATCCTGCTGAAGAAGATGCAAAGGCCTTTATCCTCCACAAATGAGTGGACCCTACGACTTTTTCTGCTCTGACTTTTCATCTAAGGGCAGACCCCTTTTATGAAGATCAAGTCACTTCCTTCTCAAGCAGGGGCAGTAATGCTTTGGGACCTCCTCTAGGTAACAACAGCAACTTCATAGGGAAAGGACTGCAGTCCCTAGCGGGAGAGTGACAGTCTTTAGGGACAACACATGACAACAGCACTAAGCAGCCTCCAAAGCACCTGCAGTTTGCTGGTGCTCCTCCAGAGCATTTTACGCACTGAGCAGTTTTATCCACTAGTGGCACTAAGTTTTCCCCCCATAAGCCTTTAGATCAGATTTTGATCAAAAGGTTTCTTATTCATCAGATATTCTCCAAAGGCACAAAGAAAAGTAATCACTAGAAATAGCTGGCCACTTCACAAAGCTGAAATAGCTTCAAGACGGGACTTACATACACTGTGCATACCAGTGGCACAGCAGAGCCAAATAACGATGGTACCATCAGCCTCTTGGCTGAATGACAGCGAAATGAAACATGAAACATGACAGCCATTAGAAAATCTGGTAGAAATATCAGCATGATTTCTAGTGAAAACAACCGATGGGAGAGGGGTAGTGAATGTTATAAAGCATATTACATAGAGTTTGGGTGCACCTTATATGTTGGATATCAAGCTCTTGGTTCTCACGTATTACTTACATAGAGTCTGATTAATATTTTACCAATGACATACCAGTATATTTATTATAGATGGTGACACCTCAGTATTTGTGAAAATAAATACTTATAAATCAAATGTAATAAAATATTTAGACTCCTCATGCTGAAATTTTTATTGTCATTTAGCCAACGTACAGTTTGTTCTGCAGCAGAAGAGCGAACCAGGACACTTCCAACACATCAGCAAATGATCACATTCAATAAACCAAATAGCCTACTGCCACCAAAAGGAAAAGAGTGGAATTACTCCAGATGTAAAGTAACTTTTATTACCAGTGGAACTAATACAGTAAATCAAACTTATGTAAGGAGGAGACAAATATAGTATTTTAATCAGGATGAAGAAGTCTTTGAAAACAAAAAAAAAAGCTGGGGGTGAAAATTTGCAAAAGCTGATCACCCCAGTTTCTCAATGTTCTGAAACCTTATGGGATAGGAGGCTGGGAAGTATGAAGGCAGAGGGTAAGAAACAGTTGATAGATGAACATTCGAAGGGTACAGCACTCCAGGGCCAGCCTTCCTAGGGCTTTGTTCTACCTTCCAGAATATTCCACACAAGAAAACAAATGAGATTTAAAAAAAAAAAAAAAGTAAATTTCGCTAGAGGTAAATGTAATAAGGTAACATGATTTCTCTACAGAATAAATTTGGCATTTTAGAAAGAGGTCAGACGATTCATGCACATTGAGCAGATCTATGGGCAGGAAAGGAAACAGCTCTAAGAAGTAAATCATCATGACTTCTTTTATAAATTCAAAACCAGGACTACTCTATATACAAACCAGGTGAAAAGAAACATTTAAATGCTTATTGCTGCAGTAAATATGATACACTTTTGTGGCCCTTATTCATCTCCATACTTTTCACAGGTGCCATGCTTTGCACAGGTGGAATGCAGGAGGGTACAGGAAAGTCCTTCACCTTATTTATACTCAGCTCTAATACAAGCAAGTGGTTGATTTATGGTACAGATCTATGATTGCTACTTAGAAGACATGAAGTACTACAGCAATTAAGTCACAAAAGCAATGAATCTCTCTGCTTCTAACCATCAAGATGGGTGTCAGAGAAAAAAAATCCTCAAGAGACAGGAATGAGGCATTATTCATCCCATCCAATTTAGGTGCTTACCTTCCCTATGAAGTCAACAGAAGACAGTATAAGACATCTAATCTTTTCCACATTGACCAAAGGACCCGGGCTTCTAAATAAGGTATTTGAAAATAAACAGGATGGCCACCTCCCAAAAGAATGTATTTGGTGCTATTAGGTATTATCATCAATGGAGACATAAAAGTTACCTGTCTTCTTCTGAACTTCAGCTGCAGATCACTGCACACAAGGGAAGTGGCTGCATGAACAAGTACTCTGACTTTCTGTTGCTATTCTCCTGTTTGCTCCCCTTCCTCCACCACCCAGAGGAAGTAAAAAATAAAACCACAAAAAGATAACACAAACATTGCTGTTACATTTTAATCATGCAGATTTTTCACAATGAATTAAATATCAAGACTGGAATAAATTTGCTCAGAAATTCATGTGACAATTGACAACAAAGGGACAACACAGATCTTTGAGTGGAGCTTGCTCCTCCAAGTGCTGGGGAGACACCAGCATCCAAGACGTCTGTCCAAAGACTAAGATGTTATAAGCACAGAGGAACACTTTTGAAGTTTGCTGTTATCAGCAAATACAGTATTACACCAAACCCCCCCACATTTAAATTCACAGAGAATTCAACTCTCTGAAGTATGCACGTATGTGTTTTGCAGTTCTCAGCTGCTTAAAGATTTAGTTAAGCAACTTGTAGGGCCAAGACGACTTTCCCCTCACCCTGCCCCGTCATTCAAACAAAAGGAAAGGGCTCACACCATATCTCTGTGAGATGGCTTCAGCCGGGTCAGTTTATGCAAGAGGCAGAGATTAGTTGTAGGCTAGCTGTGAGAACTGAAAAGGAGGTATCACAAATAATAGCTAGGACAATGGATTTTTCCACTAGGTAGATGGAGGGAGAGGAAAATAAGTTTAAGCCTCCTTACATCTAAAGCACAACTCTAATAACAACCTCCCCCCCCTCCCCCCATACTGGGAGGTATGAAAGAGAGAGGGCCCTCAAGATGACCAGAAAGCTGAGGGATTTTTTAGCATGCTCTAGAACAGAGATCCTGAAAGTATCCACAGGACTTGGGTGTTACTTCCTTTAAGTCACCCACTAGAAATAAGCACCCCAAAACCCATCCACACTCGACATGAAGTTGTGTCTGTACAAAGTAGTTTGTGTATTGCTTAGCTCAAAAGTTCCACTTTAAAGTGTGTTGAGCTGCATAAACTTTGGTTATTTCCCAGGAATTTCATCCATAAGGAGATGAGAATAGTGGTGGCCATGAAGACCACGAGACACACCTGATAACAGCAAGATGCTAATTTACATTGGAAGGCATGACCTTGAAGACCACAGTTGTCACGAGTTTCGGTTCTTAAAGCAGGCAGCACACGGGGAATGTGATATCCTCCCCCCAACATACTGCCATCCTCCTAAGCTATATGCCTATGTTACAACGATGGGTAAATATCCAATAATTTTAATCATCTGTGTTTTCTGGGGCCTGAATTAACATTATGTCAAGAATATGACATCTCAACAGTGCTTGAGTAAGAGTTGTATTTGAGAGGGAAAGAAAAAAAACACAAAAAACCCACAGACAAAATCAGAGAGTCTTAAGTCCTGCAAGAATCAGCCTTTATGATTCAGCTTTCATTCCAGGCTTTTCAGGGCATCATATGGATCTGATTATTAAAGAAACAATGGACCCTGTATAAAAGCAGAAAATGAACGCCAGCATCCTCATCATATTCCAAATCTGTAAACTACATCTGCCTACCTAAGTTTCTCTATTTCCTCTGGATGGGGCACCATCTTTTCTTCTGGCCTCAAACACAACACAGCTGAGCAGCTGTCACATTTCAACGATGGCTGAAGAACTACCCATTTCTCCAACAGAAAAAGCAAAGCCTATATAGAGTTTGGAGAGTATTCATACAAGTTCTCATTTATCTAAAGTTACTGTACACCAGTACTGCATTGAAATAAGTAGAAAAATACTACCTGTGTTTGCCAGGTATCTGCCAAACTTATCTCTCAGAGGTAAGTCAAAAGCACCTCAGAAAAAAGCACTAGGAAAAACAGGTGAGCCAAAAAAAAAAGGGATACAACCATGAGGTCTGAAAATTACTATCAGAACAGGGGAGAATGGGTACCACAGTAAAATTTGGCTTAGGCAGATTTAGAGAGGAAACTAATTTTAAAAATAAAACTCAAAAGCAAATAAAAAATTAAACAGAAATCTACAGCAAAGTGTTGAAATATCAGCCAGAATACTCAGGGGGGTGTGGGGAATGTAGGGAGCATTAGGTTTTTTTCTAAAAGAATATGATACAGTAGAAAGTCATCTTTTCTTTTTTTCCAGTGATACTGTCAGGTAGAACTCAAAACATCCTGGCTTTTAGCCATGGATTCAGACATTGATCCGCACTGGGCTTTGGTTCCTGAGCTCTGGTAACACATGTCACCATCACCTCATGAGACAGAGCAGAGAACAGGCAGCGTGTCCAATTCTGAGAAACTCTAGTTCACTACAGCCATTGATTTCAGTTTACTTCAGTATGCCAGCAAAATAGCTTGCAACTGATGAAAGAGCACATCTTGTTTCCTGCTCCTCTTCACTCCTGGCTATGCAGTCCCAACTGTCTCCTCTAATCACCTCTGATGCCCGTCACATCTTTTCATGAGACAGTTTAAACTCAGGAACTTCGCAGTAATTCTCTTTCTCTTCCTCCCTTTGAGTTATGCAGTAATCCAACAGAAAACTGTCGGCTCACAGAGCAGTCCAGAAAGCACCCCGTAGCTGTCGAAAGGTAAGAAGAAGTGGCAGTGGATGGTGCAAAAGGAACAAGACCCCCCACACAGCTCTTTGGCAATAACATACTTCCCAACTGGCATACTGCATCTTGCAGAACACCTGGCAGACCCCACGGCTCTGCCCACCGAGGCGGTTGCCTTCAGGCATCAGCAACAATAAAGAAACGTACCACTTCAATTTGATGTTTCACATACACAGTTCCTTACCTGATCCACAAAGAGGGAGGCTGCTGCTAACAGTGCTGTGGGCACAGCATAATTATGAGAGACTAAGCCGTGTTCTCTGCTGAATCTGGTGACGCTGCACTTAATGATTCAGTCATTTAAAGCAGCAGTTAACTGTTCATCTGCTGGGCTAATGTGCATGTTTGCAGTAACATACTGACTCCTGATACAGAAGCAGCAGTATAGAGAGAGAAAAAAAAAAAAAAGACATCTTACAGTAATTTTTCTTTTAAAAAGCACATACACACTTACTTTTGACCCCATAACAAATAAGAACACAGATAAAAGCAAGCAAAGCCAATTCCTTTTCAAATTTCTGACTTTTTTTTTTCATCATACAGACTAAAACAAGGTAATCCCAAGGATTCTTTAGAGGGCAGTAATTTAAAAGATGTTGTTTTGAAAAACAGATTAATGATCTTCAGCAATACAAACAGCATGCAGTAAAAATAACATGTAGTAACAGGGAAAGCATAGCAAGCAAACATGTTGCAGCTTTACTTGTATGTAAAAAAAGGACACTTCAGAAAGGGAAAGAGACAACATAAAAGCTCACTGCTAAATACGGGGGTTTAGGCATGAAAAATTATCCAGCCAAAACTATGCTACCGCAGTTAATTAATTTTTTTCCTCACATGAATGTACCAAAAAACTATCGACCAAGTGTATAAACCCTGCAACACAGTCGTGGATTTGACCACCAGGCGGCAGTGGCCATCCAAGTATTTTGCAGCCGGAGGCTCCCCGTGCCACATCGAGCTACTGGGAACTACACTGCGCTTTTCTCTCTGAACGGAGGGCAAAAAAAACCCATTCCCGAGAAAAATACCTTCTCTTCTCTTACACATAAAGCAAAATCTGCTTCTATTTAGAACAGCTTATTTTACACTTGGTGATGCTCTTCCCGAAATACAGTTTTCTTGCAAGAAATCTGTATTTTGAATAGTAGCTCTTCTCAGAAAGTTCTCAAGTCGCGGTACTCACTTCCATCAGCATAAAACCCAAAAGCCGCCCCTTACCCTTCACAGCGCACCGGCCTGACGGGTCTCTGCTTCCGAGGAGGCGCGAAAGGAGAGCCCGACCTTCCGCTCGGGCCTCGGCTCTCCCCCAAACCGCGCGTTCACCGCGCGATGCACGGTAAGGGATGAAGCCGAAGGCTACGCGGGCTGCTTTTACCCTCCCGCACACGGCAGGGCAGGGCTGTGCTCACGGCCTGGTCCCGGCGCCAGCCCTCTACCAGAAGCGCCCGGTACAGCCCAGCCCCATGTTGCCGGCGGGCGGTTTCACCCCCGCGGCAGTGGCAGCGCCCACAGCC